AATCAGACTCAATATAGCGCCGCTCGCTCACATATTCAGTGGCGGAACTCAACTGATTCTCTCTAACCAGAGGACTGTGCCCCCAGGAACCACGACTACTATCACCAAGTCGCTAAAACTTGAGCATTAGAAGTTGGTTCAAGCAATTGTATACAAATGATAGAGATTATTAATAATTTCTATCATATATATATATATATATATATATATATATATATATATATATATATATATATATATATATATATATATATACGATTATCTGTTGGTCAATGCCTAACAAGATAAATGCATGCCTGCCCGCTTATCGATCTCTTACAAAGCAAATATATGGACATCTGTTTTTTCAATATTTAAGAAGATAAATACACAGTTGCTTGTGTGACGAAAACAAATATCCGACTATGTCTTTGACAATCTCTGGCAAAACAGATATACGGCAGTTTGTTTGAGGAACTCTTACAAATCTAATATACGGCTATCTGTCGATGTCTAACGAAAAAAAAGAAATGCGGCAGATATTTACTGAATGACCCCTTACGAAACCAATATACGGCTGTCTACTGTTCTGTAACAAAACAAATATACGGTAGTGTGTTTGGTGAACTCTTTCGAATCCAATATACTGTTATCTGTCGATCTAACGAAAACAATATACGTCAATCTGTTTGAAAAATTCTTACCAAACCAATATATGGCTATCTGTCGACATCTAACGAAACAAATATACGGTAGTCTGTTTGATGAGCTCTTACAAATTCAATATACGGCCTTCTGTCGGCTTCTAACAAAAAAATATACGGCAGTCGGTTTCATGAATGAACCCTTCACAAAACAAATATGCGGCAGTTTGTTTGAAGAACACTTCCAAAATTAATATACGTCTGTCTATGTCTAACGAAAAAAATATACGGCTATCTCTTGATGTCTAACGAAAAAAATAAACGACAATCTGTCTGCGGAACTCTTAGCAAACCAATATATGGCTGCCTGTCGACTCATAATAAAATAGATATACAATAGTCTTTTTATTCTTCTGACGCCGATATACGGATTTTAATCAATCTTTTTCAACACAGATATAAAGCAATTGGTCTCGCTATTAAAAACAAATATATGACTATCTTTGTCAAGCCGTAAGCAAGCATCTAATATGGCTGAGTGTTACAAAATACGTCAGTATCTTTCTTCTTTTATATGCCGTGTCCTTTCAGGACGTAGGCGATCATGGCTCTCCACTCCCCACTATACCTTGTAGTTTCCAATAAGTTCCCCCCCTTTGATACTTCTCCCAGACCCTGTTCTGTCATCCACTTACATAAGCCCGCTAGATATGTCAAGCGTTGTTTTCCCTTGTCTCTCTTTCCCTCTATTCGACCTGTGAGTATCAGATTCCCCAAGCCCACCTTTCTCATTACATATCCCAGAAATTTCATCTGCCTCTTCCTGATGTTAAGTATGAGTTTCCTCCTTGTTTGCAACCTCTCTAAGATCTCATCGTTGCTCACACGCTCGGTCCATGATATCCTTAGCATCCTTCTGTAGAACCATATCTCCGTTGCCTTGAGTCTCTTCTTCGTTTTTGTCTAACAATCGCTGCCGTACGACTGTATATTTGCTTAAAAACCAGACATATTTTTGTCAGTCGATTTCTTACAATACAAATATGTCCGTCAGTTTCTTGGTCTTTTAAAAGACAAATATTCAATTATCCGTTTATCTAACTCTAAAAAAAATATATATGTAGCTGTTTATTTGCTGCTATCTTATAAAATAAATGTATGTCATCGATATGTTTGTTTTATCAGAAAACAAAGGCATAGACGTATATTTGTTTTGTAAAAGATTGACAGACTGCCGTGTATTTTTTTTTTTATGGGAAGAATGCAATTGGTCGCTTTAAAGATTTGTAAGAGATTTGAAACAAAACGCTGCATATTAGTTTTATAAGTGTTAGGCATTAGATTTGTTTTGTAAGAGACTGCAAACAAAACGCTTCATATTAGTTTTATAAGTGTTAGGCATTAGATTCGTTTTGTAAGAGACTGCAAACAAAACGCGGCATATTAGTTTTATAAGTGTTAGGCATTAGATTCGTTTTGTAAGAGACTGCAAACAAAACGCTGCATATTAGTTTTATAAGTGTTAGGCATTAGATTCGTTTTGTAAGAGACTGCAAACAAAACGCTGCATATTAGTTTTATAAGTGTTAGGCATTAGATTCGTTTTGTAAGAGACTGCAAACAAAACGCTGCAAATTAGTTTTATATGTGTGTTATAACCTAAGAAAGGTTACTGAATAGAATAATCAAGCCAAGGTTGGAATTGAATGATAATACTTAGGACAAGAACAACACATATAAGATTCATCAGCGGCGCGTGGAAGTAATCAACTGCTAGAAGTGAGTCAAGTGAATTCCACAATGAATCTCCAACTGCAGGATGTCTATCAACCGCCCCACGCGTTTAGATGTGGCACAAGGCCGAATTTAATGTGGGGTACCCGAGCCCGTAGGCTCGGTCAAAAATTCCCTGTAAACTCCGTATAAAAGGAATCGGTAGCTGTTTCTCGAGGCTTTGACATAGCCTCGTCTGGAGATCCTCTCTTCCCAGAGGCAGATAGTTTGACCCACACAGATGGAAACGAATCTCCAACTGCAGGAAAATCTCCACGCAGTCAGATGTGGCACAAGGCTGAATTTAATGTGGGGTATCCGAGCCCGTAGACTCGGCCAAAAATTCACCGTAGACCCCGTATAAAACGAGGCCGGGTAGCTATTTACCGAGACAAGACTCTGCCCTTCGGCATAGCCTCCTCTGGGGATCCTCTCCGCCCGAAGGCAGAGAGTTTGACCAGCAATGCTGGAAACGAATCTCCAACTGCAGACCAACATACAGTATTTACTACTGTATTTATGTGAATGGGGATATACTCATTATCGACCGTACGTATGCTACAACAAAGTGTTAAGCAGTAGATACGTTTTTGTTGTTAAAATTTGGAGAACCACTAATCATAATTTGAGCGTGGGTGTTTGTGTTTGCAGGAGGTAATCTGAGATACATTCTTTCTTTTCTTATTTTATCTACTTTCTTTGTCTTTTTTTTTTTTTTCCAAATTTAGGTTAAACGGATTTCTTTTCTTTTTTTTCTCTTTTTCATTTTTTTCTCTTTTTCTTTTTTTTCTCTTTTTCATTTTTTTCTCTTTTTTTTCTCTTTTTCTTTTTTTTCTCTTTTTCTTTTTTTTCTCTTTTTCTTTTTTTTTTTCTTTTTTTTTTTTTTTTTTTCTCTTTTTCTTTTTTTTCTTTTTTTTTTTTTCTTTTCTTTTTTTCTCTTTTTCCTTTTTTCTCTTTTTTTTTTTTTTTCTTTTTTTTTTTTTTTTTTCTTTTTTCTCTTTTTTTTTTTTGTTCTTTTTTTCTCTTTTTTTTTTTCTCTTTTTTTTTTTTTTCTTTTTTTTCTCTTTTTTCTCTTTTTCTTTTCTCTTTTCTTTTTTCTCTTTTTTTCTTTTTCTTTTTTCTTTTTTTTTTCTCTTTTTTTTTTTTTCTTTTTTTTTTTTTTTCTTTTTTTTTTTTTTTTCTCTTTTTTTTTTTTCTCTTTTTTTTTCTCTTTTCTTTTTCTCTTTTCTTTTTTCTCTTTTTCTCTTTTTTTTTTCTCTTTTTCTATCTTTTCTTTTTTTTCTTTTTCTTTTTTTTCTTTTCTTTTTTTCTCTTTTCTTTTTTCTCTTTTTTCTCTTTTTTTTTTTTTTTTTTTTTTTTTTCTCTTTTTCTTTTTTTTCTTTTTTTTTCTCTTTT